GCGCCGGCATCCAAAGCCACCGCGAAAGTCAGGCAGAAGACGTATAAATGTGGAGACTGTCACAAGCGCTCCACAGCGGATCGATATAAGCCGCTAGCGCTATGTCTTTGGTCGATGTGAACACAAAGAAAGTATTTGCTGATGAACGAATAAACGGGGGGCCTGATCAGCTATGACTTCACGCACCTTTCGCTCTACGTACTCCACGACGAGACAAGACAGTGTAGAAATCAAAACTCTTACCAAAAGTGAATGAGGTCCGGATATACTTCTTTGCGCTCAAAGTCAGCTTGGATAATCGATAAGTTCCGCAGATGCGGGGCATGAGCCTCCTAGATGTGACGTTGTTTTTAGCTGCGTTTGTACGCAACTCTAGCGAGCCGGCGTCTATCGCGGAGTAAAGGCGCGGCTACACATCGCTAGCAGGGGTTATGCGGCTCGCGCGGGCAGCGGAAGCTCCATGTCTCTTAACGCCTTACCGATCGACTTGGATCCCCAGAAGCGCCGCTTAGCGCTTTGCGAGGTGCGATGCGCACCGGATGGCGCCAGCAAGAGCGCGTGCATACTCATCGCGTGGTATCGCATTCGGTGTATCCAGTGCCATGTGTGTGGTTTCCCAGCGACCTGAACACGATGTATTGAAGTTGCCGTGCACGCCAAACTTGTTGTTCCAGCCGTTTGCTTTGTGCGTGATGTTACAACGAGGATATTGACGGTTTGTCAAATTGTAGCCTCGTTGATACTTACACTATCCGAGCAAACCGTTCAATCCGCCTTCAGACTTTTTATGATATAAGGGCGCGACAAGTGGCCTTGCCGAGTAGGTACCTGAATACATATGCGCCTTGGGGTGCGGGAGTAACCTAGGCCATTCATCCTACGCACACTCTGCGCAGATCCTGCATCACGTTATTACACTTGTCTAGAACTTGGTCCTTCAGGCCAGGTTCATGGTGATGCGCAGCCGTGACTTACAGACAGCCATCTGGGCCGCTAGTTGTTTGTTCATGAAACAAATTGTCTGTACATATTCCATCCAAAAGAATCATGCAGCTGAAGACCAAATGAGATCGAATTTGTTTTGTACACTACGATCAACTATTGCATCTATCTTCCCATCAATACGGGGCAGTAAATTGCTTGAGAAATTGCTGACTGCGTAAATTGCATGTGGACTTTCCGGTCAACTCATTGCAGGCACCTTATAGGTTGCACATTACAGTTGGTTGTATATTGTTGAATTTGAGTGACCAAGTCAACGGTACTGCTTGAGTTGCGCACGGTGCAATGTTGCAACGAACGAGACTCGACGCTGTAGTACAAAAGACCCATGCATGTCAGCGACGACCCGTCGTAGGACCTGGCGGAGATAGGCTCGAGCTCTTTCAGAATGGTACTGAGTCAAACGAGTTCAACCATGAAGGCTGGAGCGATTCTGGTATAGGCAGGTCATTAGTCCCCATCAATACATGCAGACCGTAGAGTCAATGTGGAAGCAACTGCGAAGAGGTGCCGACGTTGCAGTGGCCTGAACAGCGACCTAACTGTTGTGCATTGCAGCAGAATGTCTCAGTCGAGGTAGTGTTGGCCAGCATGCATTGAGGGTCCGGCCCGGACAGGCGACATGTTTCTTGATCCCGCGGCATAGAAAACGTCCAAGGCCGAATGGCTAGCCGGAACGGGATGTGAAGGTCCCGTATCTTCGCACCCGAGTATCGTCACTCGCATCAAATGAGCGTCACCTGAGTGGCGCCTGGAGCCAGAGCACATCTTGCTTGATTCGGCTCCCTTGGATTCGATGCCGTCATGTGGAATTGGATGGGGTTGAGCCAGACGCTGATCGCATGGCCTGCATCAGTGCGGAAGAGAGGAAAGCATCTTAGGGGCCAAAAAGCGCGCAGCCGCGGGCTGGCTGCGACCCAGAAGCCCGGGTCAGGCAGCAGAAGGCCGTTATTGCGACGGGTTCTAGGTTGACGCAAAGCGAAGGGTAAGCGAAAAGAGACGCGTCGAAACGAGGGTGACAGAACGGGGAGGTCGCTGGGGGATCATGGTGGGAGGAGCTTGGCTGCCGTGACGTAGGGGGACTAGCGCTGCGGCCAACGAGCCGACATGGCTCGAGCCAGATAAGACCAGGCCAGACGACCAAACAATAAGCGCCCATGACGACGCTATGCGACTAGTCTTTGGAGTAGACGGGTAAGTTGCAGAGACAACTTCCAGGGTTAATATGTGATGTGGGTCGCGAGCCATGTGTGACATGGCAACAACACTCCAGCATCGCATGAGTAACAGCCGCCTGCTGTCCTTGTTGCCGTAGCTGCTCCGGACTAACCCTGAACTGAAGTGACAGGTAACAATATAGCCTGCAAAAGAGCATCCTGCGTCTAATTAGTAGCACCATGGGCCCGTCCGCGAGCTGCATCGCCGTGCCACAGCCCCAGCGTGTCGTTGGCCAGTCAGGTGCGGCCTGCGCGAAATCTCTCACAGCGAGGGCGCTTAATATGCACAGAACCTGCAACATTTCACAAACAGATCACATCCATGTAGTTTTAGCCTGCTTGACAAGGGCCGCGCTTCGTGGCTTGCGGTAGTGATCCCCGGTGTATCCCCGACGCAGGTGGGTTGTACAGAAAGACGTTATGGGCAGTGCCGGCTTATTGCAACCAGTCTGTAGGAATCGATCTCGGTGGCGTCCTTGAAGTCACCCTGGACCGCCAAGGCGTCACGCTAGACGAGCTGTTGATGATTTGAGTTTTCTGCATCGCAGAAGAGTCCTGAAGCAGTTGCAAACAAGCGTGATCATATTCGCATAGGAAACGAGAGGGCCATCATGCGATGAAGCTAGGCAACCTCACTACGTAACTGCAGTCTGTCTATCGCTCTTACATTCCTTGGAGCGCACCAAAACGCCGTAATACAGATGCCCACCCACGCAGTACAAACAGAATCTTCAAGTCAATCAGCAATAAGAATCTCCATCTCCCATAGTATAAGCTGTGATAAAACCAAATCGCTTCGAGCATGCTCCTCCGTGCCGTATATGCCAACTGCTTCGTTATCCCAAGCTCCAGCGATCGAGTAGGAGTCGCGTGGCAGCTGAGTCCGATCTGCATTAGAGTTTCGAATGTCCGTACGTTGTGTCTTCCACCGACACCTGATTGCGGCTGGGGCACCCATCCGTCTTATGTCTAAGCATTTATTAGGGAGATGAAAGGAACAAGTGCTCGAATCGTTACTGACCTACTGAGCGTGTCTTTGCGTGGAAAGGCAGCGGCGCACTTGGGACATACGTGTGGTCTGACGTCCGTATGCACGCTTTGATCGTGTCGAGCTAGATCGGTCTTGCGCACAAACTGTTTTCCACACTCAGGGTGCGGGCAGATATGCGCCCTCTGGCGATACGAGTCATGCGTGAGCATGTGTTGTCTGAGGTTGTATTTCCTTGCGAAGCCCCTCTCAGGGCAAAGCTCGCAATGAAATGCAGCCTTAGCAGGGTCAGTGTGTCTACGATTGCGGGCCCGTCTGCGGTTGACCAACGACGCTGTGTTGGCATACCGGGTGGTTTGTGCAATCTGGGCTTGTGGGCTACTACGACTGGCCATCAAAGGTGTCCTTTCGTAAGTACGGCCATCGCAGCTGTACATCGGCGCAGGCTCGTACTTAGACATGACAGGCTCTGGGTATGTATGCTCGTACGGATACATATTCGAGCTGAGCCGCTCTGGGGCTACGGTAAGTGGTTGCTGCCTCGACGGAGGTCCACTCATTGTGACTGGCGCTTCTGTACCGTATCCAATATGAACTGACGAATTCCATGAAGAAGCCTCCATCTTCAAATCAGGGTACACCGAGGGCTTTGGGCCACTGGGCGAATAGGCGGCAGAAGACATGGCGCGCGGGCTGTATAGTGGTGGTGATGTGGGAGGTGAAGGTTGAGCGGAACTCCACGGCACTGGCGAACGAGAGACTGGATGGTCGAAAGCTCCTGAAAGATACGGCTCTACGATAGGCTCTGCAGAGGCATCGTTTGAATAATGGCCACCCCAACTTTCCGATGGTTGAGGTGATGGAGGCAGAGCGTTTTGTACTGATTGTACTTCATATAGACCAAGACCGTGTGTGTAGTTCGGTCGCGACTCCTGTCGCCCTGGTGAAGGATAAGGCGATTCAAGTAGGGAGCCTGTCCGTGACGTGTGTTGTTGGTAGGGCGAGTTGAAGGGTGGCGTAGGCTGGTCCGCGTACGAATACATGATGAAAGGATATGAAAGGGATTGATGCAAACCGCGTACTAGGTCTTTGAAGTTGAATAGTTTGGCGAGGAATGAAGGTAGGCAAAGATAGGAATGATGTGGTAGAAGCTGGGTGAGGATTCCAGCTGCAGGGCGTTCCGGGACGAGTTATATCTGTGCGATGCAAGATGCAACTTAATCCAAGATGGAACCGATTTGTATGCTGCGCCAGTGCGTTCTCAAAGAGTACATCCAAACAGTGGGCTTCTGGGTGTTAGGCAGATTCTGAAATTATGTTAGACCGGGCAGCATGAACAGGGAGCTCGAGCCGCCTACGCGGCAGGCGCCTGTTAGCTTCATGGGGCTATGAAAGAGTGGCAGGGGCGGAGGATGCTGGCTCGACTAGGGTGAGTGGGTAAGTGAACCAGACGGTCGGGTAGCTAGACCTTAGCGGGCCGAACACAGCATCCTTGCTCCGACCGGAGCTTGAGGCGCAAGAGGAGAGGGAGGCCGTACCCTTGCTCGATGTGCATCCCCATGAAACTGCCCAGTCTGGTGAAGGATGTCTTTCCTGCATCTGCCGTTGATCATTCAATGAGGTGTGGCCCCGATGCCGTTGTTACTGTGAGACACCAACATCTCATTTCCATACACGCTTGTTTGAGTAGCTTTTGAGACGGACAGATATCATCATCTTGATTTTTAACCGGATTCACGGTGCTCGTACCTAGCCGAATGTACCTATATTCCCGCGGCTGCAAGCGCCGGCCATCAAGCGACCGATGTGCTCGCTTCGCGTTGCTGTTGGGCCTGTGACACCATCGCAGTAAGTTCTTCAACTTGCGCCGAAAGCTTGAGGACTAGTGTCTTCAACTGAGCATCTGTTTCTGTAAACCCTGCTGGAGCCTGATGCTTGTGGGGCCTCCTTCCAAGCATATTTGGTGCATCTGCCATCAGTAGGCGTGGCGAATTGACAGGCAGCCGGAGAGCCCTTCTAGGCAGCGTAGGTGTTTGCGGTCCACTGAAGGACGTCACTTTTACACGGCGATTCCGGGTGTCGGTAAGTTGCTCAAAAGCCCAGATTGCAGAGACGAGAGGTAAATGCGTAGCCTTCAGTAAGACGATCCGAACGCTCCTAAGCCGCTCCGAGGGCAAAACGAGCCGCAAAGGTCGAATGACTAGCGGGATGAGGTTCTGGAAGCCGGTCAGCCTTGCAAATGGCGGGCACAGTCACAAGTTCCAATGCATCGTGGGTTTGCAGGGGTTCACTGCGTCCTTGAGTCGAGAAAGCCTGAGCGGCAGAACAAGGCTTGCCAGTGAAGTGACAACGGCAGAGCATCCGCCGACGATACTGTCCCTACGAACAGACCAGGAAGCTTTGACTGATTGGTTCTAAGCGCATTTTCCACGATGGTCGCAGAGGCTGTGTCGATTGGCCATTGCACGACCCGGCGCTTAATGCCCGCTTTAACCTCCCGATAATAGCACTGAATCACACACTTACCAGTGGAGGCAGAAAGTACGTCAATCTGTTTGAACTTGATGCTTCGAGCACATATACGGAGTAGCTATACCGTTAGTGCTTGTCGAGCGGCGCATTGCGATTGTATCAACGTACATGAAGAGATACTCGTCTCGCGCATGATCCAAAACCTTTTCCTCGTCAATATCGATCCTCTTGAACGCAATATAGCAAGAGAAGATATGGTATAGCCTGTTGTTCACGGGCGACAGGGTAGGAAGCAGCGGTCATGGTTGTGGGTTTGCAAAGGTGTGGCTGTATCACACACCCGAAACACCAACCGGAAGAAACCAAATGCGCTTCCCGATGTGAGTGCACTCTGGGGAGAGTGCGGATAGAGATGGCGCAGTGTTGGCCGTTGTGCTGCTATACTTGGCATGCATAAACATGCATGCAACTTTGGGAATGCGGAGTAATGAGAAATGAGAAATCCAAGTACCTTACTCAACGAGTTACTCAGAAGCGATATCAAGGATGTGATGAGAAGTATGTTCGTCAGAGTCACGAAGATCAGCTAGCGTGTATATCAGCAGACTGTAAAGTAATGCATTCCAAATAGTTGTCTCACCATAACGGGAGGACCGAAGAACGGCGAGCTATGCAGGGTTAGCGAACCATCAACACTACTGTTCGGCGAAGTACGTACATCTCTTCGGCGACATCTGCAGACGGCTGTTGTCAGTCACTAGTCATGAGGCGGTGAATGCCTTCTTGGTCGTTGTCTGGGATTTGACTCACCGAATCCTAGGTAACTAGAACTGGAGGAGCATTAGCTGGTCAGGAAGCAGCAGCAACGTCGGTTCGCTTACCCGAAGAAGACCTTAATCAGGATCCAACTCTACAATGTACGAGTCAATAAATTGCACATTGGTAACCTCGATGGAACAACTTGCCATTTGCTTGGGGTTGAATCTGCTATCACGAGCTAGCAGTACGAAAGTAGTCAAGAAACCTGTTTTTGGTAAGCATTGAACAAGACTGCTTCACTATCGAATGGCTTACCTAGATACAAGATTACTACAAGGGACAAAAACTTGACGAAATCCTTGGTCATCTCCTTGAGGCATGGGATGAGGGTTCCAAAGTAACGATTGAGACTCAAGAGAGCAAAGATGCGCGGCACAAGGAAAAGAGCCTCTAGTCCGAGTACGTCGTATGCGAGATCGATGGTTGCAGCGTTAGACGTAGTCAATCCAACGATCCTCATAATGCAGAACACTAAGCCGACGACAACGATGCTGATGTCCCAAGTCCACCAGAAGTCCGAGGCGTAGAAGGAAGTCTGCCCCGCATCAAGCCAGTCGGCAAATTCGTCGTATGCGAAGCTGGCAATCCATACGTAAAGCAGTATCTCAGGGATGGTGACCCTGGTGTTGTTGCGCTGCACCAGCACTGCGTAGTATAGTCCTAAGAATGCCGCAAAGAACAGTGTCTCGAATATTTTCAGATATAGTGGGACGCGTAGACGTGAGAATGGATCGGCCTGTTTCCGATTATATTTCTTCGGTTTCTTCTCCGAGTGTAGATTGAGGGTCTCCCAAAACACGATGTCGCCCTTCCACAAGCCGTTGATGATCTTCTGGACTGGTCTTTGTGATAGGAACTTTTTCGCACCGGATACAGTCGCAAGTTCCAGCGCACTTAGGTTCTCGCATCGCGACATCAATGAGCCGAAGCGAGATCTGGAAGAGTCGCTGTGCCCAAAATAATCGCCATTGGATACTGGCAGCAGAGGCGACCGCTCGTCCGCATGTGGGACATCGCGTCCGTCTTCGTACGTATGATGGTGGCTCGATGCATCTGGAGTGTTCGGGGCTGTTGCAGGCGGGAGTTCTACTAGTAAAGACTCGATAATATCTGCCTCTTTCAGATTCGTCAAGAACTGCCAGGCGACGAATTCGCATGCATAGCCTCGCGCCTCATTTACACCAGGTTCGTCGCTGGCTTCCTCCAAGGCTGAGAAATGCCCTTTGAGGGCGCTTGAGGCTAGTCAGCTCTTATCACTCGTTGGCGTTCCATTGATCTGGTATGGGTTGCTTCGACGTACAGGAGAGCTGACACGAGGGCAGGGTGATCGACTTGGGTAGACAAATATAGGATGAGAGGCTGAAGGGCCTTCCCCTCTTGCGATCTACGCAAGTCTTCGAAAGTATGCGGCGTCTTGATAGTATGCTCAAAAAATCTGAACTCGGGTCAGGTTGCTGAATGGCGCATTCACATGCATGAACTGACTGGCACAGCTTGTCCGCCAAGTCTCCGAAGCACTCGTCACCGACTATCTCAGGCACACCGGTCTCATCTGCAGGCCATCTTGGCGTGGACGGCATTGACATGGTCGAATATCCTCTGGGTAGCTTGCAATTGAGAGAGTCCTGTGTCATAGGGCCTCTGCAAAGATTCGCGACGCGTCCGCGGTGGGGACGCGGATGTACCCGCAATGGTCATAGCTTTCTTGGCAGCCATCACCCTTTCCCTTTGCTTTTGATCTCGCTTGCTCACACGACAGACTTTTGATGTTCGTATGAACATCATGCGTCTTCGGCTGCACCCTCCTGTACTCTCACTGGCTCATACGTGAACGACCATCCTATCTACCATGGCCCATGACGCTAACTTTGTTGGCAATCGTTTGCGACTGAGCGTCTTTCTTCAGTGTATGGAACATGGGGAAATGCCCACCCGCCCGTCACGCTTCAGGCGATCTACTCAGATAATTGCCGGACCGGCCAGGTCTCTTGCTCCGCTGTCCCCTCGAGTCAATTGTGACGTACCAGCCCTAGAAGCGTATAATGGACCGCTAGTGTTGACCTCCAAAGCATCGATGGAGACAACGGCCATCATGTCCGATGTGGCCGAAGAGGCTGCGACAGACGATGAACCATTGGAAAACAATGTCAACAAAGAAGGAGAGAAAACCTCGGAAGATTCTATCCCAACTACCGTTGCGGAAGAAACAACAAGAAACAACAAAGGGCTATCGAGCAATCCGAAAAGGCGTCTACCAGTGAATGAGCTCGCCTTGTTGCGGACCACAACACTTGATGGACTGCCCACGCCGGTTGTAGGGATGCTTCGCGGATGCCACTAGAACAATGTTGTGACTAGCTAACGCTACTTGACCTCAGGATGCCGCTGTCAACTTTACTACCCCCATCGCTGTAATCGATCCTATCGAAGAGAGTCAAATGCGTTCCGCAGGTAGATTGAGTGATGAAGTAATTCAGCTTTATCTTAACGCTAAAACTGCTGACAATTGCACAGACTTCTCGCAGCTTGATCGTCACTGAACGCCGACCATCACCTCGTATAGTTCACTTGTCGAACATCGTCCGCTCACCAAATGCCATGATCTCAAAAAGTCCCGCAAAGCTCTTTAAGGGTTCCTCACCACAATCCAATGGCAAACCACGATATGATTCAGGCTACCGAAATGCTCATGACGGGTTTGTCGGTTCTGAACTCCGGCTCAGTTCCACAAAAAGATCAAGCCGCCGAGGAAGAGCAATTCCGACCAAGCGAAACAAGCCTAGCATCATGCGCGAGTTAGCTCTAGAAGCTAGGCCCTTGTCTGTATCCCCAGACTATCCCGTGGCTATCTCTAGTGTTTTGAAGGTGGAAAGGACAACAAACCGCGATGCTCCGCATCCTCCGTCCAAGTCTGGAGATATTCAGCCCAATCCAGGGGTTGGACGATTGGTTTTGACGAGGACACGGAGCGCTCTGGAGCCTGATGTAGTAGTCGAGCGAATCCCGAACCGAGCGATATTGTGATGCTATGTCAGCTCTCTGACCTGGCGAGTTCGAGTTGATGCAGAATCAGTGCGCATTCGGGGGCTGGAACGATGGAAGCTACGCTATATATCAAGAGAACTGTGATACTGATGATGCTGACAAGACTGGCTATGCCTCTGCTAATATAAGCCTTACTTTTGATGGCGGCGCCAGCTTTTTGCGTCCTGCAGTTCAACATTCGAAAGCCTAAAGTGAGATCGAGATCAATGACCAGTAGCTTCAGTCTCGTGACGAGCCACAAGGACGAGAAGTCCAGTCTGACTATCTTTGGTATGTAGAGGCAGCAAAATGCAATCGGAGAACTGACTCAGAATAGACAAGACAGGAATGCGAGCAGCCAAAGGCCATCGATTAGTTCGCTGTCCAGCCTGAAACATCTTCATGGTTGATCCGCAACGTCACCTATAGCACTACTACAGACCCGCGCCCCAAGCGCTGGGCCGACATCGTCAACGTACGTCGATAATTCTTATGAACACTCAAAATAATAATAATAGAACACATCAACGATCATAACCTAGTATTTCTAACTTCCCAAGGTGGATACATCCAACCCTCCATTGGCATGTGATTGTGCAAGAGCATTGTGCTTGATCATGGAAGCTAGCCGGTGACTTTCTCAGAGTGTGGATCTAACACCATACATAATATCTAAAGTACAAATTGACGGAATAATGCAGATCGCAGTTTGGGATTACTCGAAAATAATACAACATAGGCAGGGCTGTCGTGGTGAGGAAATGCTGGATGCCTGATATAGTTCTAGCGGCAACCCCAAAATAGCGCAGCGATCGGTGTTCCAGCCTCGCGATTCAGACACTAACATCAAACACCACACTACTGTTTGAACGCATGGGCAAAACACAGTACAAATGTTTTGCTGGCGTGTTGACATGAGTGGGGTGGTGGCTGCTATGGTGCGGTGTGATATATATGGTGAGCTTTGTGCCTCGCTGCGCGAAGGTTTCTGTACCGCTTCGACGTCCTGGTATCTTGACTATTGACTAGTCTTCTTGCCCAGGTCCATTGTCCTGCTATCTGTCTGAGGAGCACATTCGGTTCAATAAGGCGAATTAATCATCGCTCATCAGTAACATGGCATCGCAGGGCGGCATGCCTCCTTCCATGGTGAGTCCACACTACTACATGAACTGGCCGTATGAGGTCAGGACATAGATGAAAACAAGTCGCTCACATGGCAAAGGCAGCACAAGGACCTCCATATCCTCCCATGGTATGGCCATCAGGCGGTCCTCCGATCAAGCGCATCGACATTCCAGCTCAAACAATTTTCATGTTCTTCTTCATGATTGGAGCGGGGGTACACATGAAAATATTCCAGAAAAATAGAGCACGAGGACATAAATTTCTGGCAAACATCTTCATCTTCGGTAGGTCTTGTTGTAAGTTAGGAGGGATTGGAGACTGACTCTTTGGAAGGCTTTTGCATGGAGCGCATACTCACATCGATACTACGACTCGCATCAGTTTCGAACCCAACGAACGTTCGACTTGCCATCGCTGCACAAATCTTCGTCTCCGCAGGTGTTCTCATCCTATTCGTCATCAATATTGTTTTCGCAATACGTCTAGTGAGATCGACGCATCCATCAGTGGGCTGGCATCCTGCTTTTGGAATCGCATTCAAGGTCCTTTACGTATTGATTGGTCTAACACTTGTCGCTGTCATTACGGCCACCGTCCAGAGCTTCTATACCCTCAATCCAAACACTCGAGCTACCGACCGCAGCTTCCAGCAATACGGCGCAACATTTCTTGCAATCGTCGCGATACTGCCTTTACCGATTACGATGCTCACACTGCTCATTCCCTACTCACCACTTGACCGCTTCGGTATCGGCCGTCTCCGTACAAAAGTCATAGTTCTACTGATTAGCACAACGCTCCTCTCCATTGGCGCATGGTTTCGCTGTGGCGTTACCTTCCAAGCACCAGTTCCACGGTCGCAACCTCTACCAGGATATCTCGGCAAGGCACCATTCTACATCTTCAACTTTCTCGTCGAAATCCAGACTGTGCTCATGTATGCCATACTTCGCATAGATCTCCGCTGGCACGTTCCTGATGGCGCAAAGGGGCCAGGTAGCTATGCTAGACCACAGATGCACGACGTGGAAATGCAAGATTCGAGACCTACATCCTCGGATAGTGTACAAGACGATAAGAGATCCCTGAAGACTATCAGCGAGGAAGAAGAGAAAGAAATCAATGACGAGAAGGTTGAAGAGCTCGCTGCACCCAGGATCATAGAGATTGACCTTGGAAACTCTTCACGTAGCTCGCTCGCGCCGCCAGACATGGAGGTACGCAGGAATTCAGCCCGTAGCTCTCTTGTACCACCAAAAGCGACAGACAGGTCAGCACGTAGCTCCGTCATCTCTCAACGCCTGTCTTCTTTCATCAGCAAATCCACCAGTACACTGGCCACCTTTGCAACGGCAGAACAGAAGCAGCGATGGCGCGAAAGCGAAGAGGGAAGGATAATTAGGAGATTGGGTGGACCATGGCAGCAACTCCCTAGTCCTACTGAGTCGGCTTTTAGCATCAGCAGGAGTCCGACGAAGAGCGTTTTTAGTCGTACTACAGGAGACGACCTGGAACCACCTCAACCAGCATACCACCAACGGAGCGATAGCGGTGCGCCCAGCATACCAGATGTTGTTAGCGAGGGCGGATGGACGCCGAGAATCGAGTGGGAATTCCGCAGTCCCAGACGTTTTCTCAGCCTGAAGAAGAGGAGTATGATCGGTTTGCAGCTTCCCAAATGAGCCCATAAATACGTATATGGGGTTGTGTGATGAGGTGTTTACAGCGAAGGCGTTTTTGGGATGAAAAGGTATAATTCTACTGCTGGGCAGCAAAGCTCTTTCCTTGTGTTCAACATACCCCATCTCTTTCTGGTATGGAGACGATGGTCGTCTACATAGACTTTGCGTCTTTCTTCTTTTTTCTCTGTACGTGTACGATAGCAGCGGCATTACCAACGATATACCAAGCATTTCTTTTCCTCATTAGGCTAGACATACATACCAGGACCTCATCGGTCTAGATCTCCGGCTCGCCTCTACATCAACAACCACATTTCGTGCCGTGAGCTGATCTAGGATCTGCAACTAATTTAGTGCCGCGGCTCCCCCCCCCAGCAACCCGGGGACCGTACCTGAAAATAAGATTTCAAAACAAATCAATAGCGCGAGACGAACATGAATGTGCCTCAGGGAACGCTTGGTCTGCTGTCACTTGTTTGAAGAGGGGGTAGGGTCGCGCTAGTGCGTTAGCTTTAGCAGTTTGCATCGTTTGGTGTTTTGTCTTGAGGACTGAATGCCTGGTCAAGGGAAGAAAGATCTTTGGATAGGTGTTGGTGGCCCGTCAACGTTGAAGCCATCATAGTCGATCGGAAAATTGCAGGCATTCCATAGCGTAAAGTCATTATTGCTTCGACGTTTTTATGCCTGCTTCCCTTCTTCGTCCACAATTCAAGCAAAAACCCCTTACATAGGAATCCTCCTCATCTCCTCTAAACTCCAGTATTTTCTCATATTCTCCGCTTCCAGCTGCTTAACCTCGTCGTCCAGATGTTGCCACAATACATCCCCAAATGAATCCAGGATCTCCTTCAACTCACCCAATCGCAACTCCCTCTCCCCGCTCTCACAATCTTCTAGATACTTTTCCAGCTTATCGAGACCCTTGTGGATCTGCTTGTGCTGCGTAAGAAGCTCGAGTTCCTTTTTGAAAGCGGGCATCTTTTTGGCTAGTACAGGGAAGATGTGTTGTTCTTCTATCGTATGATGCACCGTGAGGTGATCTATCATGCAGACTGTTAGATGACTTTACTCTAGAGCTTTGCAGTCTGGTGCTTACGGCAAAATTGCTGGCCTGTGCTAATGAACTGGCGGATAGACATGTTCTTGGGCCTCTTCTGTGCCTCACAAGCCCCATAGAGAACTTTCCAGGTCGCACGGAAGTTATCGTGGAAATAGTTCATATGTTCGGCCATCCTGTTGTACTGACGAAACTCGGATGGCGTGAGTTTGGGTAGAGCCTTCTCTTCCTTGGTCGCAGGTATAGAGTTTGAATCGTTGACTACAGGAGGGGCTGGCGCAGTAGGGCCATCATCTCCTGAGATAGTTGCCATGTTTGCGGGAGGAATCGATTGATGCAGTTTAGGGCTGGTCGTGAAGTGATGCCTTCCAAACCGTGCCAGAGCTGATCGAGCTGGAAGCCTGATGACGGATGCCAAGAATTGAACACGCTTCATACGCTGAGAAAGAAAATCTAGAACTGCGCTTGAAGAGGATAAGATGATATTATTTGGGGTATCTATGTTTTGCATGTAGCGCAACCTTGGAAAGCGATTAGCCAGTCGCGGCTGACGAATTTTGCCTTAGCAAGCAGCCAGCGGCCGGCAGTTGGACTTTCCGATGCCGGTCAAACGCGTTGCACGCGGTCACGTGCACGCGCCATTACCAACCACGACATGCAGTCATGCTTCACTTATTCCGCGTTTTGGCAAACTTCTCGTGCCATTTCCGTGCCGATGGCTTCATGGCTGCTACCGAATTGTCCGCAATAGATGTTGTGGAGGCTTTGCTCTTTGCCCTTATAGTCGTATCGGAGGGGAAGTCGTAGACGCCCTCGATGGCACTAAGTTGTGCGTCCTTGCGCCATACTTCAGGCAGGCGGTCCTCCCACGTGTCAGTAAAGTCAGCGATGAGGAAGTCGCTACCGTGCTTGGCTTCTAGCAACGTCCTGCCCGTAAAGACGACCGTCTTTGCTCTGTCCAGACATGACCATGGCCCGTTGTTGTTGGAATCTTCTGTGGATAGATGTGCTAACACAGCCTCTACGAGGCCTGGCGGATGTCCCTCTTCAGCCGCAGCCTTGGTAATGTCGTTGGTCAGGAACTGCGCGTCCAGCTTGATGCCTTCCGCCAGCGCAGCAGCGTTGATGGATCTCCACACTTGTGAGAGGGCGTTGGGCGAAGGTTGGTAAGATCCACCATCCGCCTCGAATGCCATCAGCTCATTCCATGCTGCCTGACATTCTCCATTCGACACGGGCAGATCGTTGTATATGCTGGTCTTGCTCCTGCTGTTGCTGGTCGCATCGACGTCTCCGGCAACAATGTCGTATATCGGCAGCGTCTCCCTCAGAAGGGCAGCAGCAGACGCAGTCGATGTGTAGGCCTCGAGTGTCGTGGTACACAGGGCAATGGCGCGTGTGGCAGGGGTGGGTATCTCGTTGCCAGGGGCTTCGAGGGCAGGCTGGGTCAGGAAGAGCGAGTTGGACGTCTGGACCTGGCGCAGCTGGAAAGATTTGTTCGGCGTACAAAGTACTGCATATGCAGGCTTCGCGTTGGACGTGCCAGGAGCGGCGGACTGGGCTTGAGATTTGATAGAAAGCCTGGCGTCTGCAGTAAGAAGGGTATCCGCATGGGAACGACAGGTCGGCGCACCTACAGCGGGGGATTGGGCGCGTCTATCAGCTCAACAATTTCTGGGGGCAGCTCGAGCAGGCGGAAATGCTGCTGTTGGTGTGCTATGGAGAAGGGCACACCGCCTTCATCTTGCTGCGTGGCCATGTCTTGGTTGACCGCACCACTCCGAAATCAAACTGCTGACACTCTTGAAAGCCGACAGTACCTCATCTCATGACGGCAGCTGCTATGACGACGATGTTTTTTTGTTTGTGGACACTGCGGGGTGCGGCGATGTGCAACTAGCAGGCAGACGGCTCGGACGATAAGCTGCAAGGGCAGCATTTGCAGGCCAAAAATACTTGTCATTGCGGCCGCTTGCTGGGAACCCCATGCTTCTGCTTGTCGCACCTGTGGCAGACAGTGGCACCTTGGTTATTCGCGCTGCAGCTTCCCACCCGCGCTTGGTCGCAGCCGCATGACCGCTTTCTTGGTTCGGGCTTCAACAAGATCCATGGGATTTGTTGTTGTTTAGACCCGGAACGCGCCTCCACTGTCCCTTCTCTACCCCAATGGCTTCCTAGCACGACGCCGACGACAACACGACAACACGACAACAACACCGCCCTCGCCTTCTGCTTCTGCTTGTGCGGCTGCGCCATGCAACCACTGTACTAATTGTCCTCTTCACCCGTCTGATTACTAGCTGCCAAATCCGTCACTCGTTTCCGCGCAATTGGCACCATGGTTGTAATCAACCCCGAGCCCGCCGCCCTCTCCGCAGAGGATCTGTCGCTCTTCTACACGACAGACGAGCTGCTCTCTGATTCCCCCGTGCTCATCTTCTACGGACCGACGGCCACCTCCACACAGGCGACACATTCGCGCATCCAGACCCACGTCTTCACACCAGCCGGCCTCCAGAGCTTCGCCCGCCTGATTATTTCGCCGACGGCTACCTACTACAATGCCGTCACATGTCTGCCGCGCGAGGAACAGGGCGACGAGATTTGTCGCGGTCTCGCCTTCAGCCTGTACAAGTACTTCCTCGAGTTGCCCTCGGAGATCAAGAGCGCTTGGGAGAAGCGATACAACTCAGACAACCTGCCCATGGCCCCCAGGCTGTTCTCCGAGGCGCACGCCGCCATCGTCGCTGCCAGGATGATCAAGGTTGAGAATGTCGCAGATGTCATAGTAGACGTGCGCCATGCTTTGGGCGAGCAGACGCTGTCCTGGATAGATTTGGATGTAGTCCTACCACAGGGAAGCATCCAGAAGCTGGAAACACGCGAGTCGGGCCAATTTGAAGACCTTGAAGAAGATCTGGTCAAACAGCGGTACGGACAGTACGCACCCGTCGTCAAGCTATTTGGAGATGCCGCCTTCCTCCCCACATCCAGACTCCGCCGCGCGCCCTCGAAACCAACCGCCCTCAACCGGTCACAGTCCTTCTCAAGGAAACAAAAAGAGACTCTTCGGCGAGAGATGTGTGAGCTTTTGGACACGGAGGAAAATTATGTGAGCAAGCTGGACGAGCTGGTCCACACTGTAGCGGTCGAATTCCGAGAGAAGGCGAAGCAAAGGTCAGGCTCGAGTTCTAGCCCCACCGAACAGGCGCTACGAGGCTTGTTCCCTCCTAGTCTTGACAAGATACTCGAAGTCAACTCCAAATTCCTGGACGCCATACGTATCATCTTAGAGGAGTCCGAGAACGGGGCGATCGAGGATATCGAGACAGCAACAGACGACGTCTATATCGCACCGTTGCGGGGACAGAAGGACGCACCAGATGTCACTGGAGCTGCAGCTGTTGCCAGAGCTCTTCTTGAGTGGCTACCACAGTTCGCCGACTGTTACACCGACTACATGGCTGCTCATGGTGACTTCTCACAGCTGCTAAAGCACTTCACAAAAGAACCAGCCTCCAGCTTCTCAAAAAGGGTCTACGAGACGGGCGAGCAACGACTTACATCCATGCTTATCGAGCCGGTTCAACGCCTACCGCGATACAATCTGTATATTGACAACATCATCAAACAACTGCCAGTTAGACATCCTGCAATCAGGTTGTTCTTGAAGGCGAGGGACATGATCTCGGATATATGCACAAGAGAGGGTCCTACAGCAGCGCAAATCAGAGTGTTTGATCGCTTGCGCAAGATGGTCAGTTCATGGCCATCCGGATTCAATCCTAAAGGGCGGCTCATCTCAGTCATTGATTGTGTGGAGCTGTCTCCGCCATACCATGGTGAACTGTCTGGACCTGCTACGGTTTCCGGTATCATGATAATCTTTACAGATTTCTTAGTGCTTCTTCAGAAGTCGGAGGACAGCTCGATCAATGCACGTGGCTTGCTCGCTGAGTTAGATAACCCCAAGTTCGCCGAATCCTATGATGGTACTACGGAACTCTCTTTCCACCAATATCTGGGTCTCAGCGATATCTTCGTCAGTGAGCACTCGGAGGGAAATATCCTACAACTAATATCCTCTGTGCCACTCGCCAATCAACCCGGACGTCCAAGAAGTCGAGAACGTCAAAAGCTTGGCATTCGCATGTTCTACCTGCAAGGCGCCTATGAGGGTAAAGGGCACAAGGTCACCGAAGAACTTACCAAAGCTCGCGTTGAAGGCAGGTTTTCGGAAGCGGAGCGGGATGGCGGCAAATGGGACGTCCGAAACTTGCCAGGCGATCTGAGCTTCTTTTCATCTGTGGCTGAGGAGACTGGTGGTCAGTATGTTGAAGGTCGAAGAGAACCTGCGAGAGTACAGATTCTAGTCGAAGGGTCAAAGTTCACCAAGCCCATTTCAGTGGGAGACAATGGTGTCGAGCTTACCGTCACAATTACCATGCTCGGAGACGGACTCTACCTGCTAGAGTCAAACGGTGCCAACGGCTACACGGCACGCGACAAACTTACCGACCAAGAGTTTCGACCTGTCCTCACGAAGCGACTTGCCAACTACTTCCAAATGCGCAACAGTGTTAAGAATCATGTGCTAGCCGAGGCGTATCTCTTGCGGAACAAGCAAATACTCAAGTCACTTGCCTTGGAGATGTATGAGGCAGAACAACAAACAGGTAGCAAGAGCCGGCCACACTCTCCAGTAAAGATGCTGTCTAGTTTCTTTGGCGGTAGCGTGGGTAACTTCAGTGGCAGCATAAATCGTGAAGGAGGAGGTTCCCGCAGACTTCAGCGAAATGCTCATACTATGGGAGAGATACCACGTATGGCGCCTCCTGTTCAACTTGGCTCAACCCGTACGTACAGTCATGACGGGGACATGTCACGCCCTACTTCGTCCAGCACTACGAAGAGCATTACTTTCAACGGTGCCGCGCCGACTGATCCCTTCGCGAAGCTCGAGGATACCTTGGCCAACCTGACTCTAGCATTGCACGCACGCAAAGGCAACATTGTTGGACGTTCCGTCCGCGCTAGAGCTGTCGCAGATGAACTTGTTGTCAATGAGCTGTATAACACACTCCTGGAAAACCCAACTAACCTTGAACTTGCAGGGCAATCCTCGGTGGATGTCTTGTTCGCAGTGTTCGAGAAGTTCCTGAGCGTTGCTTGGAAAGAGAGAATGGGCCCTGTGCTGTCGCATGCCACGTTGGTCTCTTTACAGATGCGATCAGACAGCATGCCACCTGATGAGTTCGAGGAGTTTTTCAAATACACCTTCGATCAATTCCAACCTCCCAATCAACGGGCATTCCGGGCAGTCATCAATCTCTTGGCGGAGCTGCTGGATGGTACTAGCAACGATGGAGATCGAGGTATCCTCACTGCAGCATTTGCCGAGATGCTAGTGCCTGCAGGCAATGCAAACGATTTCATATCTCTCATGGATCGCCTGGTCCAGGATATCGATGCACTATTCCCGGCTGAGACACCTGGTTTCAATACCCCAAACTGGGGCTCCATGGACTCCAAGAGTCGATATGCAGCCGCGGGCTCGCTCAACTCCAACACGTCATTGAGGAGGCGTTTTGGATTTGGCACTTTGGAGCGAGAGAACAGCAAGTCGGAGAAGGAGTCCAAGGTAGGCTCGCTCTGGCGCTCTCTTAGTAAGAACAGCCACGGAACAGACCTCCAACCACCCAGCATGGGAAGGTCTGGTCCTGGGCACCTTGCTCGTTCTAACTCAATAGACGCTGCTGCTCGCTTGTCGCCGAAGCGTCCGTCTTCTCGCGATCGTCCAACTGTTCTTGGCGCATTCACGTTTGAGAACGCGAACTCAAATCCGAATCCAAACTCAAACACTAACGGCCGAGGATTCGTGGGCAATCTTGGGACTATTGGAGAGGTACCTCCCACTGTTGGGCCTCCCCGCAAGAAGCGCCGTTCTTCTTTGAGTGATCTCAAGACACTGCAGGATGCTGACGATGTGCCCGCGTGGTCCCCACAGACTCCTCGCAAAGCTGATCCTTCATTACGCCATGAGAATCGGCAAATCAGTGACTCCCCCTTGGCTCCTGCGGCCGCTACGATGGCGCTCCACAAGCACACATCATCGATACCGACGCCTACGCGACTCGGTTCACCATTGCGGGTAGACAGACCGGATAAGAAAGAGAACGTACCTGCTGTCGGGACAGAGCGTCCAGCCCACGTAAGGGGCAAATCGGTTACCATGAAGCCGGATGTCATGGATGAAGTAACAATCAAGTCGAACAGTCCTACGAAAAAGCGAAGCGAGACTATCTCTGGAATACCTAATCCTCTGAGCCTTCCAAACAATTCGAGTATCCCAAACCTAAGGCCGACTACCAGTGCTGGTTTGCACGAGCGTAACGGGTCTGGTAACGCTGTCAAGCTACCACCTTCGACGCCACGGTCTCCAACCAAACCGAGCACTCCCTTGACAGGAAACTCTCCCAAGAAATTGAGAATGCAATCGCCGCAAAAGCTGCGCGAGCGACTGCAAACTCAGCAACGCGATATAGACACAGCTTCGCAAGCTCTGCAGAACGAGCTAAGTGCCATCGGCCAGGAGCTGAGTGCTAGAAGCACCCCACGCCTGACGACTCAGAGCTCGGCTCCGTCATTAATAACAGGAGGCACGCCTTCAAGGTCAGCTGAACATCGCATTGCCACACTGGAGAAGCTCAAAGCCACGTTGGACACTCTATCTGCACGCACATCAGGAATATCAAACGA